TGCGTGCGTCCGTGTGTGCGTGTAACTATGTGAATGGACCCATGAAAATAAACAAGAAATATCATTCTTTCTCAAGTTTCCCCCAGACCTGGGTGTGTGTGGGGAGAGGGGCTGCAGCGTGGCAGGGGTGTCGGTGTGGGTGTGCATGGTGGCAGGGGTGTGGGTGTATGTGCAGGGTGGCAGGGGTGTGGGTGTGTGTGTGTGCAGGTTGGCAGGGGTGTGTGTGCATAGTGGCAGGGGTGTGGGTGTATGGGCATGGTGGCAGGGGTGTGGTTGTGTGTGCATGGTGGCAGGGGTGTGGGTGTGTGTGCATGGTGGCAGGGGCGTGTGCTGTGTGTGCATGGTGGCAGGGGTGTGTGCTGTGTGTGCATGGTGGCAGGGGTGTGGGTATGTGTGTGTGCAGGGTGGCAGGGGTGTGGGTGTGTGTGCATGGTGGCAGGGGTGTGGGTGTGTGTGTGCAGGGTGGCAGGGGTGTGTGTGTGTGTGCGCGCATGGTGGCAGGGGTGTGTGTTTGTGTACAGGGTGGCAGGGGTGTGGGTATGTGTGCAGGGTGGCAGAGGTGTATGTGTGTGTGTGTGTGTTCAGGGTGGCAGTGACGTGTGTGTGTGTGCAGGGTGGCAGGGGTGTGGGTGTGTGTGCAGGGTGGCAGGGGTGTGGGTGTGTGTGCAGGGTGGCAGGGGTGTGGGTGTGTGTGCAGGGTGGCAGAGATGTGTGTGTGTGTGTGCAGGGTGGCAGGGGTGTGTGTGCAGGGTGGCAGGGGTGTGGGTGTGTGTGCAGGGTGTCAGGGGTATGTGTGCATGGTGTCAGGGGTGTGGGTGTTTGTGCGGGGTGGCAGGGATGTGGGTGTGTGTGCAGGGTGTCTAAGGTGTGGGAGGGGGGTCGCGTCGTGCTCTCCCCGTATTTACCTTAACTCGCGCGCGCTCAACGCCGCATTCCAGCTCTACGAAGAAGGTGCGGCCGCGGAAGTGATGCGCCGCCTCGACCACTGTGTGGAGCCACCGTCGCAACGCCGCCTCGGATGTAGTCAACGAATGCTTTGGCCGCGGCGAATGCAGCACAGAAGGAGCGAGGAAAGGTTCTCCTGTCGAGCANAGCCTTATTGAGTCCACCACACGGCCGCCGTGCGTATAGCCATATTGAATCTTATCCACACAGCCGCCGTGCGTATAGCCTTATTGAGTCCACCACACGGCCGCCGTGCGTATAGCCATATTGAATCTTATCCACACAGCCGCCGTGCGTATAGCCTTATTGAGTCCACCACACGGCCGCCGTGCGTATAGCCATATCGAATCTTATCCACACGGCCGCCGTGCGTATATTCTCGGCCATACACATATCAGTAGCAAGGTAAAGCCATGTAGAAGGGAACGGTAGGTTTTTTTTCATGCCAATAGCGGCGTATGGGCCGCAT